GTGATTTACAGAGGCCTTCAAAGCCTGCTCACTTTCATTGTCCTGAGAGATCAGCTTCTTTTCATGAGCCAGGACGGAGCTTTCCAAATCATCAAGTGACATTTCATCAGTGTCATTCGCCTCTTCAATGGAGCATACAACATAGTTGTATTTTGCCGTCATTGACCGTAGTATCTTTTGAACAACGGTTCCATCTTCTAACTCTTCACCGTAACACCGCATCTTGTTGACTATTGTCATAGTCCTTGAGTAATACTCAGCAAATTTCTCACCATCCTTCATTCGAAGTAATTCAGACTCAGTATTTTTAGTACTCCGTATTAATCAAGTTTGTTGTCCTATTCTTTAGGAAGTAGCTGTACACTTCTATGGCTTTCCTTCTTTTTAGCAGATATAGTTTCTTTCATGTATGGCCTATAAATTGGCTTTCCTATGGAATAATATATCATTAAGTTCTTCTCTGATTCCTCTGTTGATTTCCTGAGTTCTCCAATTTATATTAGTTTCATATATTTCTTCTTATTAAGGTTGCTCACAACCTGTTTGATAAAAGTTCCCAAAGAAACCCAGTCTACATTTTAATAGGCAAGGAGAGAGAGTCGTCACCACGGGCGGTGGGATCTGTGTCCACCCACGGGGGCTCATCCTCACGGTGGAGCACATCCTTCCTAGTGGTTCGCTATTGAATACATTCATGCCAGACACATAGATGGTCTGGGATTTCGATGGAACTGCGTGTACGTGTCCTCCGATCCCGGATCTGATCTAGGGCTGTTTTGGGTGGGGGAGAGGCTGGAACCTGAGGAGCAGTTTGAATGGGTTAACCTGGAGGAGGGGGATGAGAGTAATAGATCAGATGGTCTTGCCGTGGGAGACCGGGTGTTCTCCTTCGTGCATCGCCTCCAAATCCCGTACTCCTACTTCAAAGGGGTAGTGGCTTACCCTTTTCCGAGTGCCTCTAATATAGATTTGGATTTTGGCAGCATCATTTCAAGAGCCAGGGAGGAGGAACTGAGTGAATGGGAGGATACTACCTTTGCTACGAGGGTTGCCTACCGCACTGCTGGTGGGATTGTGAAGAAGCGCTCGAGAAATATGCCAGAAACAGTGGACAATGAAATTTTTGATGAGGCAGGAATGTTGACCTACAGGATGAAGCTTCCACTCATCCATATATCTGGCTTTGGGGGGGCTAGCCACTCGGTTGGAGAGTCGGGCTGTCCGGTTTTCGATGAGCAGAATCGTATGATTGGGCTCATAGCTTTTGTGAAGGCCGGGTCTGTGTTTGTGGTTCCGACGTGCGTGCTTAGGAACTTCGTGTCACGCCACTTGGCCACTGCTATGCGGCTTGCACCGGACGCTCCGCCCCCTCCGCTCCCTTCCTCTGCAGCTTCTCTGCCCGGACCTTCTCAGCAAATCATGAGAGGGAGAGGGAGCACTTCGATGAGAGGGAGAGGCAGTGGCCATCACAAGAGGAGGGGTCCCCCCTCTGGGAAGGGGAGCGGCAGCCATCACATGAAGAAGATGCGGTTCAAATGATGGTTGTTGGGAACTCATGCTTATAGTTTAGTTTTACTTACTTCATTAGTCTTAGTTTTTATGGAGTCATTTTGAATTACTACTACTGTTTCCTTATTCTTGAGCTCAATGTTTGCAATGGTATTATCGTCTTGAGCCTGTCAGTCAGTCCGTGGTACAGAGCCAAGTCGAGAGTGTTGTGAGTTAAAAATTTTCTGCAGCAACAATGGCTTCTAACAAGCACTTTGTTCAACCTGTAATTCTTCATTTTGGTGGTCATTATGATCATTAGAGCATGTTGGTGGAGAAATTCTTGACGCCAAAGGGTACTGGCGGGTTGTGTACGAAGGAATCACGGAACCAACAGTTGGTACGGCGATGACAGAAGCTCAATGAACAGAGTTGGAAGGGCGTCAATTGATGGGTCTCTTAGGTATTGTTTCTTTGCTTAATTTACCGATTAATCTTTGGTTATGCTTATCCTGTTTATGGCTGCTTTAACATTCAGCAACTCTGTTTTTGGTGTCAAGTACTGGTGATATGCATTGTGCTCTTTGCAAACTTTAAACATGCTTCATAGTTTTGTCACTCAATTGTATTAGCACTGACCAAATTTTCAAGATCATAGTTACAGAAATGGCAGTTTCTAAAAATATTGGTGATGCCTTCATTTCTTGGTGAAGGTCAGGGACGGATGTTCATATATAGATACATTCTTTGTTTTATTCTCCTGTCAATACCATTGATATATTGTTTGTTTTTACCTAAATCCAAAGCCCAACGATGGTGGGCCACTTATAAATCGTATGGGAGAAGTCATTGGAGTCAAATTTCACAATAAAGGATACATACCCTTATAACAAATGTAATTGTGAGGTGGTGGAATCATTATAAGAAGTTCAAACTAGGGCTATCATTGGAATTGTTTGATCAGATGTGATCCATGAGTTGAGCTCTATTTTTGTCTGAGTTTGCTTTGCCAAAGATGGCATAAGAAACAACCCAAGTAACCAACTATATTGATGACAACACTTATTTATTAGATAGAGAGGGGCTGGTGTGCAGAAAGGCCAGCCTAGGAGAACCCATAGGTTATCAACAGCTAATCTTTAATATCACTATGGGTGAGTGGCTGACTAAATACATGCTGTAGTATTTTATCTTATATTCTGTCCTTGTATTGGCCAATCTTTTAGTATTGAGTTCCTATAATTAAGTGCTTATTGGTGATTTGTGTCTACTACGACAAAGTTAATGTATTTCTCCACTGTATTTGCTAGGGACTGATTATTCTCTTCTGCTTCTTTTGGTTTTGGGTGGTTTATGGCTTCCAATTTATACTTGGTGTCTTCATATAACATATTGGTTAAGGCTAAATAGCTCAAAGTAAGAGGTGAAGTCTAGGGTCTAATTGCCAAATTGGAGTACATCTGTTTCCATATTGGTTATTAAGGTTAAATAGCTCAAACTAAAAAAATTATAAGGTTGTTTGTTGTTTGTTGTGACTTTAAATTGTTTGTATTCCTGAGGTCGGTGATCTGGATAGAACGAAGGAGGGTATAGGAAGATGACGAATAATGATTTATGATCGTACGCTAAGGTCCCTAAGCAATCTCTCAAGTATTGTTGCTTTGCTTGATTTTCACATTAATCTTTGGTTATGCTTATCCTGCTTATGGCTGCTTTAGTATTCAGCAACTCTGTTTTTGGTGTCAGCACTGGTAATACGCATTGTGCTCTTTGCAACCTCTAAACATGCTTCATAGGGCTGAATATTAAAGCAGGATTGGAATAATAATTTATCTCCACAGAAAAGGATTGGACTATTTAAACATGCAACCTTTAAACATGCTTCATAGCTGTACTGACACCAACCTTTAAAATTTAAACATGCAACCTTTCCAGCAACCTAAAAATTTAATGGAGAGAGATTGGAATCTCTCTCTCTCTCAAACTAGGGCTAATCTTTAATATCACAATGGGTGAGTGGCTGACTAAATACATGCTGTAGTATTTTATCTCATATTCTGTCCTTGTATTGGCTAATCTTTTATTATTGCTCATTGGTGATTTATGTCTACTACGACCAAGTTAATGTATCTCTCCATTGGGTGTCTTCATATAACATACTACCTCCGTCCCACTCTTTTTGTCCAGTTTTGACTTTTGGAACTGTTCATCTAAGCACTTTGACTCATCAAATTCTCTCAATGTGTAAGCCTAAAAATAGTCATGTGTGATCTTGTTTGATTTGCCTTAATATATAGATTATTAATATATAATTTTTATAATTTTTTAATATATAAATTACAAGATAAAATGGATTAAAGAAGTGCATTAGATGGTGTGCAAAAATAAAAGTGTAGAAAAAGAGTGGGACGGAGGGAGTACTCCGTATTGGTTAAGGTTAAATAGCTCAAAGTAAGAGGTGAAGCTTGGGGTCTAAAAGTTTCAATCACAATAAGAGTTTCCATGTTTTTAGTCAAATAGTTTAAATGGGGTTCATACTTTGTAATATACAATGCTCGGCATAGATGGAACGTTGCGTCTTCAGAATGGAAGGAGAGAAAAGTTCTTCAAAATACAATCTCGAATGGAACCGTTGCATTTTCAAATGGTACGAGAGAAAAGTTCTTCAAATTACAATCTCGAACGGAATCGTTGCAATTTCAAAATGGCATGAGATAAGGATTATTTAAAATATAATTCTTCTAGGGGTGCGAGGATTGCATTAACAAAACTACATCAAAAGATTAAAACTAGTAGTGTCATTACTATATTGTGTTATTAAATGACCAATGGGAATAAGAAAAGAAATAAAGTTAAGTTAGGAGTGTTCATCGGTCCAAGACCGGATCGACCTGGACCTGACCGCGAACCGAATTGAGTAAAACGACGGACCGAAGACCGAACTTAAATCTAGGATAGAACCAGTCTCGACCGATTGAACCGAACAAATATGTTTTTTTAATTATTTTGATCAATTAAATATATTTTAGGTTTTGATGGTTTGTCTTTCAAAAAAAATATTTTAGGCTTTTTATTTTGTAGCGTACAAATAAGAAAAATAATAGACAACCTAAAAATAGATACTCAACATACTACTTCTATGTAGAATGATAAAAACTAATGCGAAACTTTTTTTTAAAAAAAAATCGTAGCAAAAACTTTTTTAATTAAATAAATTAAATATCTATTCAAGTAAAACATCAAAGTTTATTACGAAATTTAAAAAGTCAAATTTACATTTTTAGGCCTTTTAGGTCCAATAGGGTTATTAGGTCCATTTAGTCCAAATGTCCAATCGGTCTGGACCTAATTCATTTCAGGTTTGGACCGGACTGGACCAAACGATCCGGTTTGATTGGTTTTTTTGGTCCAGACCTAAATGTGAACAACCCTAAGTAAAGTGTGATCACGTGAATAGAAAATATTCAATTTAATTTGTGACGGAGAAAGTAATATTTAGAATATTTTCTTTTCACACAAAAAAAGGAGCGTAAGAAATATTCAATATTGCACATACCTATCTACTACTTCATTTGTTCTTAAAAACACTTCTTCTTTCATTTTTTCACTTTCAACAAAACACTTTCACTTTCTATTAAAAAACTACTTTTACCTTTACTTTTTCATATCCTACCTATCACATCATACTTTTTTTCTAATAATCTATCCATCACATCTTACTTTTACCAATCACATTAAGGGCAAAATTGGAAATCAACTACAATTTAACACTTCCTTATTTTTATACTTTGTCAAAGTATGAATTTTTTTTAGAACGGAGGGAGTAGTAATTCACTAATTTGTGTGACTTGTCAAGGAGGGAGAATTTCTTTCCATCTCTTCCCTTAACCTCCCCCAACTATAGAATTAAAACTAGTGGTACATGACTATATTATTTAGAGGTGGCAAGACTCCCTAAACAGTTCCTGACTCAAAATATTCTGATCTCGTCTCTATAATGTTCCGTTTGGGATGTAAAATTTTTGCCTCCAACCCCTTTCAAACTATTTTAAAATGGGATTGAACCGAGACATATAAATATTTGAGTAAATTCCATAATTGGTCCTTTATAAGAGGAGGTTTCCCTATTTAATCCTCTATTATCAAATATTATCCCAATAGTTTTTCATTTATGTGTACATTTCCACGAATAGTTCTTTTTTGTATATATGTATATATCTAATTATTTATATAATGATATAACACAGAAAAATATCACAATTCTTATTTTTACCAAAATAGATATAAAAATATCCATATTTGGATATTCTAAAAAAAAAAGACTAAGACCGGAACACCAAAAAATCCAAACTGTTCTAACCCGATCCACCCTAATTTGTGGCTTATAGTTAAAATGAAATTTATAGTCCTGCTTTAAAGGGGTTTCCTTATTATTTTGACTTTTTAAAAAACATTCTACATAAATACTCTCTCCGTTCGAAAATGTTCTTCCCATTTGACTTTTACGATCTCCAATATTGCACTTTGACCATTAATATATATATATATATATATATATATTGGGGCCGGTTCCCGTGAGAATGCATCTTGTGGAGAGAAATGAGAATAAAATCTAGCCGTCGGATCTGATGCATCCTGCGGCTCAGATTGCATCATGCGCTCAAATTTTGAGATAGTGCATTTTCGAAGGTTTATGGTGCATTTTGACGTGATGCATTTTCGTACCATTTTGGTGCATCTAATTTTGATAAAATCTTGACCCTGAGATCTCACAATCTAAAGCATCAGATTCATTCTCATTTCTCTCCTAAGATTGCATTCTCACCAGAACCAAAATCTATATATATATATATATATATATATATATATATATATATATATATATATATATATATATTATAAAAATTTAATATTTGAAAACTACGTTTCATTATGAATATATTGATATTAAATTTACATCATAATATAATGTGTCTTTTCTACAAATCGTAGTCAAAGTTTATAAACTTTGACCAAGAAAAGTCAAATGTGAAGAAAATTTCCGGACGGAGGGAGTATATCATTTTTTTCATTACTTTACAAGTCAAACATTCTAATTAATACGGAGTATATTGTATATTAATTAGATAAAATAATATTTTGAAAATATTTGATTTAATAAATCTAATAAAACTATTTTTGTATCAATATCTTATACCATTTTTATTTAATTTGAAAACAAAATTTACCAATTTTGACCAAAAAAATCAAAAGTAAACAAATAACAGAGTATCAAATTTTGAGCAATGAGACAAAGTAAGACAACCTAAACCCGTTCTGTATTATCCGGATCCTAAATATTAAAAGACAGAAGAATAAGCTTTTAGTCCGAACCGTTCTGGACTATTTGAAAAAAACCCGAACAAAATGCGGGATAGTATAAAATTCAAACCATCTCAACCCGTACCTACACCTAATACTATTTTGTTAGATGATTAATGAAAATATAAAAAAGAAAAAGAATGAAATTTGACCATATCCTTTAATATAATATTTGAGAGTTGATAGCCTAGAATGATACATGTGTCAACTTAAGGGTTCTAATTGAATTACACGTGGAGTGACACGCGTCCTCTTCTACGAATAGCAACCGTCCTCCCCAGTCGCCGATTCATCCTCTTTGCACGGCGCGATCTCTGATTTTTTCCTCAGAAAAAACTTCGACAAAAATCCGATTCTCCGCGGTAGGCCTTCGCTGATCGAAGGAAACAAAATCTAGAAGGAAAGTTGATTTTTCGCGGATTCTTCGCATCAATTATGAGATCTACACCGTGAAGATCCATTTATTCTTCTACGTCAATCCGAAGATTGATATTTGAGATTTCATATGATCGGGACTTTCCTTTGTCGGTGAATTTCAGCTTTCTTCTTGCAAAAATGCAGTAAGTTTCCTTATTCTTACCAAATTTATCTTCGTTCGATTCCTCTTTTCTTTCACACAAAATGGTTTGTTCTCTTCTGCTCAAAACTTTTGTTCTTCTTGGTCTGCGAAATTTTTTCTTGCTCAACATGAGGTACAAATCTCGATTGAATTTATTGCCTAATTACAGTAGGTCTCCTTCTTCAATATCAAATGATATACAAATTGTGATTTAGGTTATCGATAAATCAAATTGTAAGTTAGGCAATTCGGCAATTTATTCTCCATTTGTATGTAAGGTGTGCTCATACCTAATGACTTTTTTGGAGTATTTTGCTTCGTGTGATTCGACTATATAGGATACCGGTGTACAATGATGACAAGACGACGAATTCAATTGAAATGTTTTTCATGGACGAACCTGTAAGAATTATGTTCTTATACAAATTTTGCATACTTTATAAAATTTATGTTTTATAGGAATTCTTATAAAGCTTTTGTGTCTTGGAGATGATTCTACTTTGAATGAACTCATAGTGATTGAATCAAGATAAATTGACTCCTTCACTTCTTTTACCTATAAAATGAGTGTATTTATAATTCATACCAGAGAGTAAGCTTCTTATGTTGATGTTTGCTATATCTTCAGATTTATGTGTAGGAGTTTTGTTGAATGAGTTTGGTGATTTTTTATTTAGCAAATATAATATTTGTTAATATAACATTAGTTTTGCTTATGGCATCATCGACTAATTTTTAATTCAAATTCTTATGCAAAATGTGCCGTGTGGAGACATACAATTGTATGTCTTTAATAGACTCCTAATACATAAATCATATCTTTTCAAAGTTGAGGTTGAACATACACACTTCAATGATTTCGATCCTTCATATAATGTGATTGACATTTGTTTCAATAAACAAATTAAACCATCTCAAAATTCTAAGGAAATGGATTCTACTTTTTTTCTGCCAAAGTTTGATTACATACATAATGGAATATCAAACTGGATTTAGTGATATTTTTATTATGTGTAAAGTCATGTATGACATTTAACTTGCTAATAAATTGCTATCAACCTGTCTCGATAATAGATGATGTCATTTTGGGACTTCCAACTAGGAAAATCATCACAACATACATTCTCTGTGGGTGAGGTGTCATCATGTGTAAAGGTTAACGTTCTCAACAATTTGCTCAAATTTATTAACCTATTCACATTTTTCAGCAGTTTGCTCAAATTTATTAACCTATATAGGGTACATTTTTTAGGATTTTGCAGGGTCGGGGCATATGTTTAAATGGGAGGAGAGTTACTAAATCCTTGCTCAAATTTATTAACCTTTGCATGTCCTTTTTTTTTTGGATTTTGTAGGCATATATGTGTAATTGGGAGGAGGCCAGGGTACTAAACCCTAGGAGCTCTGATATGTTTGAAGTACCAAGCACTGAACTAATGAATGGTTTGTACTTTGTACTTCTCAGGTTGTTTGCCGGATACTACCCAAAATCCCACGATCAAACTAAAACATTGGCACCAACATTTTTATCCTTTGAAAGTTGCATCACTTTTTGCTCTTTGTTATGAAGAATCTGACTGAAGATTTTTTTGTAGAATCTAAGGATAATTCGTTAGAATGAAATGTAGATGCAATGATATTACCGATTCTACTTCCAACAAAAGAATGAAAGAGATGGAGCATCATGATGAAGATGAAGAGTGTTAAACTAGAGAAAAACTAAGATTAGATATTTTATGAATTTATGTTACTTTGAGAGTATTACTTTTTTGGGTTTGATTTGTGTGTTACACAATTTATGATTTATAATTGTTGGATTCTTTGTGGCTTAATTTTAATATACATAATTTTGTGGCATATTTTTTTTACACCTTGGTTCCCATGACATTTAGTACCAATGTCATGGGATGACCCGGGGGCGCTCCGGTTCCCTGTTCGTAAAATTGACGATTCCTACCCAACGGTAAGCTCTCACCCCGTCCCACTCTGTCCCGAACACACCTCCCACCCCCTTCAACTGTACCCCACAAGTTGATTTTGACTCCAAAGTCAAAATTAACTTGTGGGGTGCAATTGAAGGAGGTTGGGGGGTTTACTAGGAGATTAGGGCGTAGGAACCGTTAATTTTATGAATAGGGCACCCGGGTCATCCCATGACATTGGTTCCCAATGTCATGAGAACCTTGCCCTTTTTAAATAAGATTGTACTTCGTATGTTATTTTTAAGAGTTTGCATTCTTTGGATGATGTTTTTTTTTAAGAAAAAAACTTGCGATTAGTATTTTATTCTTCCTCTAAATTTTTTAGCAAAGAACATCCTATTATTACTAAGGGAGATACTAATTACGACCTTTTCATTCTTTCATTTCTTTTTATTTGAAAAAAAAATGGAGTTGGTATTAATAATGTTGATCACGAGTATATAATGTCAACACGGTACGTAAGATTGAAATAAAGTCCAATTACCATACATATATATTTTTTATAAAACTTAAAAATGTCTCTGTTATAAAATAATGTGCTTTTAGTAATATTTTAGCATTACAAAACAACGAGTAATATTTTCACAAAAAATGTGAAACCATGATTTATTATGTCTCCGCATATATTATTTATGATTTACTATTTCAATAATCTTTGGTTCAATAAAAACAATAGGAATGTTTAATATGTATAATTTTTCATTCATAAAAAAATTGAAACAAAATTGCATACATAAATGTATGAAAATTAAGAAAAAAGGAATATATGTTTTCACAATAATATTATTTTCTTAATTTTACATTACCTTTTTTCGTGTATAAAAAATCAATTACTAAGAGTGATAATGCGTTTTTTATTTTCTTATTTAATTTATGTTTCTTTTGACCATTTCTTCTTTTTGTATATACAAAAAAATATATAGTATTGATAATGATATATTTTTGGTTTTTTCTCTAATTTCAACATAATTATTAGTCCTGGATTGAATGTCATAAAATTACTGTGTTAGTTTCTGTTGATGGTAATCGAGCATTAAAAATTTTACTTCGCTTTTTTAAATATGGTTTTTTTGGATAGTATATTAGTCATAAGTTAACGTGCCATGTGTTTTGCAGAATTTGACATCTTGCCAAATGATCTACAAAATTTATGATTGATTGAGATTGAAAAGTTGCTGAATTCAAATAGACGTTCTTTAAAGGAGTTTAATTGGTGGCATGCCATTTCCAGATGATAACCCCCTGAACTATGACAAAGAAAAGCTGTCCACTGATCTCAAATAATATTTATCAACAATGAATGACGATCAGAGAAAAATATACAATGAGATAATAGAAGTTGTGAAAGCTGCGAGACGAGGCTTTTGATTTGTTTATGGTTATGGGCGAACTAGAAAAACTTTTCTTTGGAAATTATTATCTGATGCGATTAGATCAATTGGTAAGATTGTTTTAAATGTTGCATCCAGTAGAATTGCAACTTTGCTATTACCGGGTGGTAGGACAGCGCATTCAAGATTCTCCATCCCTTTAGCATTAAGGGAATGTTCAACACGTGTGATCAACAGAAGGAAGCCCAAAAGCAGAATTAATTCAACAAGCAAGTCTTATAATATGGGATGAAGCGTGTATGATGCATAGGTTTGCTTTTGAAACCTTAGATCGCACCTTAAGAGATATTATGTGGTTCTCTAATAAAAATGCTGCAAACAAACATTTCGGGGGGAAAACGGTTGTGCTTGGGGGTGACTTTCGTCAAATACTCCCAGTTATACCAAGAGCTTCAAGAGAAGAAATTGTGGAAGCTACCGTGAATTCATCAAGTTTGTGGTCGTATTGTAAAGTATTTACATTGACTAAGAATATGAGATTGCATTTTTCTTCATCCACCCACGCGACAGTGACACACAACTTTTTTCAGGGTGGATAATCAAGATTGGAGATTGACAGTTGGGTGTGGTTAATGATGGAATTGGTGAAATTGAAATTCCACTTGATCCTTGATTAAGAACTCAAGTTCTCCACTTCATTGTTTAGCGGAATTCACGTATCCAGACTTATTAGAAAATATGAAAGATTATACTTTTTTCTCGATAGAGCTTTATTAGCACCCACGCTTGAAGTTGTTGAAATGATCAATAGTTTTGTTTTGTCTCTTATCCCTGGAGATGAAAAGGAGTACTTGAGCTTTGATTCTTCATGTTAAGCAGATTCAGATATAGACATAGATGGTGATTGGATAACGACTGAGTTCTCGAACGATATCAAGTATTCCCGGATTCCAAACCATAAAATTGTTTTGAAGAAAGAAGTACCAATTATGTTATTAAGAAATATTGATCAAACATATGGGTTTTTTTAATGGTACAAGGGTTATAGTTGAAGAGTTGCGAAAACACGTTATCGGTGCAAACGTTGTATCAGGATACAATGCCGGGGAGAAAGTTTGTATACCAAGAATGAATTTGGTATTGTCAGATCCTGGATTACCGTTTAAATTTCAAAGAATACAATTTCTAATATCTTTATGTTTTCGTATGACAATCAATAAGACTCATGGCCAAACATTATCATTTGTTAGATTATTCTTAACCAACTCGATATTCACTCACGGTCAATTTTATGTTGCAGTTTTACAAGTGAAAATTAAGAGAGGACTGAAAGTATTAGTTTTAGATGACAACGGTAACTCTTGCAATTGTATAAAAAATGTGGTTTACCTAGAAGTTTTCCAAAAAATGGATTTAATTATACATTTATACATTCTTTTTAATTTTTATATACATCCATTTTAGTTAGCATACTCTGTTTATGTTAATCTAAAATTCTATATTATATCTACTTTTATTTTATAATTATTTACTTAAAATAAAAAATTAGCAGATTTAAAAATAAAATGCGTTCAACCCCGTGCGTTGCACGGGTTAAATACTAGTAAATAATAAATACTCCAATTTGATTTGAGTAGGGTGTAATATTTAGAGTAATACACAAGTCAATATTGCACATGCCTATCTGCTTATGTCCAATTACTCCTCGTTAAGTTAAGCATGAGGTTAGGTGTCTAAAGTAGTACTGCATACCCACTGCTTCATGATGTTGTGGCCATTGAAGAGTTAAGCAACCCTTAAATTACTACTCCTCCATGTCACCCTTCTCCTCCCCATCTTCACCTTCTTCTTCACCTTCACCTTCATCTTCATCTTCATCTTCGTATACCCTCGGTTCTTTCGTAAACCACTCAGGGAGAAGCCAACTGTAATGCAAACATACTATAGTCACAACAACAAGTATATTCTTATAATCTCCATTTACCTGCCCTAAATGCACATACATTGAGAACCCAAAAATATCATTATCCAAAACATGCATGTAGGTCGGATTTTACCTATAGTATTTGTCGGGGGAGGCCTCCTGCACCTGCACAACTCGCTTGAGTGGGTGAGACATGCCAGCCCTCACAATTCCCAACTCCACAGACTCCCCAACCTTATCCCAGGTTCTCTCGAAAAACTGACATTAAAAGAATTAACACACAAAGACAAAGGAGGTAAGGTGGGACTTGTATTCAAATTGGGTGCAAACGGAAACCGATTCACAAGGACAAAATGGCCACGTTCAGTGTTTTAAAATACACCAGTTATGCGGTATGTATTATTAATAATATATTCAGAGTACCTCCAGAATGCTCCTCACTGGACTTCCATCGCATTGTACTATGACATCATTACACTGTAGGCCAGCCAAGTGTGCAGGAGAATCTTCCGAAACCTGGTTTTTACTAAATGGTTAATGAATGAATTGTAACACAAGATCAAACCTGCTAATGCACGCAATCTTTTCCCTCCGTCTCATGATGCCATTCATCTAGCAACAATGACCGGATGCAGACCCAACCAGGGCACACTATTAACACGATGCATTGGCATTACCTCTTTCACAATCACTCCAGTGGTTATATTTGGAAATTTCAGCAGTAAATTTAGCATGGCTTCATGGAGGTTGAAGACATTGATTCCTAGCCAAGGACGCCGAACATCCCTGCATTAAATGAAGGCAACCATCAATACTTGCACCCGAACAATGCTAGAACAAGGCAACCTCAAATGATGCTCCCAATAAGAAGACAAGTCGAGGTGACCAACTATTTGAAATCTTTATATAAGACGCCAAATGGATTACACTGTTGGTGATGTGGTGAAGAAACTGATGGATAATGGTTATGTTTCAAATGAAGCACGTGAGATAAAATTAATCTCCCACCCGGCAAATACAATGAACAAACATTTCGACTTGGTCCTAGTTGACCTACATCAACAATCCCACTAAAGACATCATTTCAGCTCAAATAGTGGTCTACGTAATCAAATGAACTCGATTTAACATATTGCTGAACACAGAGCAAGAGATAAACCACTTTTTTTACTAAAACAAATAGAGAACCCGTTTGAATGCTTTAAATATGACGTCAAACAGGTTACACTCTTGGCAGTGTGGTGTGGAAATAATGGATAACCGAGGCATTTCAGGACTGTAGTTTGGCAATTAGATCCCTAGCCTTCACCTTTACCTTTGAGCTATTTAGCCCTTAACCAATATATTATATGAAGAAGACACCAAGTGCTAATTGGAACCCATAAATCATCCAAAACCAAATGAAGCAGATAAGAACAGTCAAATATGCTAGATCATCACCCCAAAATTAGACATGTTTAAAACTTGCATGGAGAAAATCAAAGTTGAGAGCAAGGGGCTTGCGATAATGGATATGTTCCAAACAGGTAGAGATCTACATTTTTAATGTCCCCATCTGCTTAGGAGTACTTGAGTTGCATAACATCATGAGCCAACCATTGAAGCGATGGAACTTTGTGAAGAAATTGAGGAAGGTGAAAAATATTTATTTTTTAAGAATGAATTTCTTTTCTCTATCTTTTATTCTTAGATTCCTTATTTCATTAATTTGGTCACACATTTTGTTTTGTTAACCCTTTTTCTTAGAAATTGCATTTGAAGGGAGTGTTGAAGAAAGAAGATTGCCTCCTAGAGTTCCAAGACAATGAAACCACTCCACACAAAATGCAATTTCAGACTAGACTTATCCGTTTTGATAGTGTATGGTTGTCATCTTGCGGGTTCAATATTTTGGCTTTCGCAAGAAACTTGTAACATAGTTTCACGTGTTGGCTACTGCCTATTTGTTACTATCTTATTTGGCTTTATGCACTTTGTTTGTTGGAACTTGTAAGACGTGTTTCATTAATTGGCTATGAGTTATTGCTTTTGGTTTAAATCGGTTTTCTATTAGACTTGGCCATATATGGAATGCTTCGTGACTTGTGAATGATGTAAAAGTTTGGATTTTGTAGAGCTGAACTTTGGAAATTGGAAATTCTCTTTAGTCATTCCCCTTCCCTGTGGAGTATCCTGTGGTTGACCGACTTGTATTGTATTATTTCTTTTTAGTCAGATGTTGTGCTTTTGTACCATAGATTTATCATTATTAACTTAATTTAGAATGACAAATACGGAGTATTAACTTCATATCCGAGGATTGTAGTGTCGTTTCATACTTTAAAAATCTAAACCTATGGTTTGTTTAATTGTCTTGCAAAGCCTAACCAAACCACAATTTTTTCTTCCGTCCCGTCTTAGGTTTTGGGAAGAAACCGAGCCCACCCCTAGATAATTGGGAACTGTGAGTTTTGTAAGTTTGTTGCGCATGGCATCCTTGGCACAACACGTTCAAAAGACTAAAGCTCATAGATCACTCCTGACCAAACAATTTCAATGATACCCCTAGCTTATGAGTGTGTGAGTGTGTGGGCACGAGAGAGAGAGAGGGAGAGAGAGAGAGATATTATTTACCCAAACTTCTTATAATGACTCCACCACTTCAAAATAATATTTGTCGGCAAGAAGGTAGTGTAAGGGTGTCCCCTTGTGTGAAATTTGATTCCAATCACTTGTCCCATACGGTTTATAAGTGGCCCACCATCCTCTAGCTACGAATTTAGGTAAAAACAAACAATCAATCAATGAAATTGATAGGAGAGAAAAGCAAACTCATGTGCATCTTAACCACAACCCCCCCCCCCCATCGAAGTATAAAACAAAACCGTCATTGCATCACGAGGCATGATTTGGCTTTTTTTAACAGCTTAGATAATAAGTTAAAAAAAGTTTTTATGATGAAAAAAAGATGGAATAGAAACAAGAACGTTACACATACCATATGATTGCAAAAATATGCACCGTACAATTCCATGCACTCCTCTCCTGTAGGCTCTGGGCTACAAAAGCAAAAAGGAGAGTGCAAGTCACTTTTCCATAATAAGGAATGAAATACCTATAAACACGATATAAATAGAACACAGATGCATTGCAAAACCTGTAAAATCCAACAGCATTTGTTAGATCACCACGATAATGACGCCCCAGACCAATCACAAGCTCTCCCGGAACTAACTTCACTCGGTCGGAATGTGGTCGGAGTTGAAAAGAATGTGGAAGAAGCTCTTCAGGATCCAATTGAAGGACATCATCCACTAACTTCATGTTGGCAATAGGCATGGCGCGATTCGATTCAACCTTCAAAGCTACAAGGTTGTAGTGGAAGTCATAACATATAACCCTTGCTTCCAATTCCTCTCCATCAGGCAAACCCACGTCAACCTGTTGAAAGTTGTTTGGAAATATAAAGCGATTAAAAAATGACCATCCAAAATGAATAGAAATAAAAATATCCGAATGGATTAGGAATAAACCAAACACAGTACAGGAAAAATTCAGATTGAACAAGTCAACACTCTAACTTACCACAACATCATCAGGTTGAAGATTATTTGTACGCTTAAAAATCATTGCTGTAGTTAGTACAGTCAGGTAATGAGTACCATTAGCATTAGGTTCACATTCCATAACTATTCCTGAACCCCAAAATATAGGTTCTTTGGAGGAATAGCCAGGCACCATTAATCTACTCCCTCGGCGCTTAAGCATGTCATCTGCACAATAAATAACATATTTTTGAAAGAATCTAAAATAAAAAGGTAGTAGAAAAATGTAATGACTCAGTATGAACTTGAGCTGAACTAGTTAATGAATCGACTTCAACATTGTGTTGTAATTTATGTCGAGGGGTCTAGTTGAATAAAGCTTCACAACATCAGATTCTAATATTTTATATAGGGAGGGTTAAAATCTCACATAAAATCTAAAAGAAAAAAGATCACCTGGTTTAATTTGACCTTAGTATTTTTTGGAGAAATTGAATAATTGCTACCCAAAATTTCAATCTTAAATGTTATCGCATAAACAAGAATTCAAGCAGAGCTAAAACAAATCACAATGGCACATCGAATAATGGGTGTAAATTTTGTTAAACTAACGTACCTGGCAAATCATAAGTCACAACAGATACAACGGATCCACAAGCCTTGAGAATAGCACTTCTTACCAACAATTTTCGATCACGAAAGTTGCCACAATCCGCCGAATCAGGTCCATGCCCACTTAAACATTCATGCCCTGATTGGCACAAAAACGTGAGGAAAAATAATATTCAACTACACATGGCACAAAATCAAAACTTTTATAGGTAATGAAGATTGTAAAAAGCACAACTATCAAAATCAGTGTTACCTTCCATTATTTATAATGCTTCAGACCCCAAAAGGATTGTCAGGTGTGTCGTAAGGCCTAGAAGTTAAGACTTCTTCACTCTGTCCCAAAAAAGAGTCAAAGTTTAACTTAAAAAATATAGAAGATAGGTAAATCTTCTTATGGGACTTTACGAGATATGTTGTAGATTTGATTTTGATCTTATAACATAACTTACTGATAATATAACTAACAAAATATAACATAGCAAATCTGAGAAGCTTCAAATGATGAGTTTTGAATAAAGATAAATGACACACAAGAGAGCTTCAAACCCTGCAAGATCAAGTAAGTTTGAAAAACAAGAACATTACCAAACCATTATCCTAAAACTAGAGAGATAACCAACTGTTGTAATATGGCTTGAGCAGTCTCGAAAGTAAGTTATCAAGAAAAACAAGTACCCAAATTATTTCAAAAATATTATTGCAACTCACAGACCAAAATGCTGATTAACTATGAGTTATGCTGCAACGGTAGACCACGTGCTCACCTTCCCTAGTTTAACCCTTAAGTAATGGATAGTGAAGAGTGCGACCTCAACTCCAGTCCCTAATGTTTCTATCAACTTACTTTAAGACCATCGATAAAGTTTAATTAAAAAAGAGGATTAAGATCTTTGGAAATCTTCACACACTAAAGTTCCATATTCAATCAAAAAGATATTTAATCAAATCAACTTAACAACGAGATTGATGGAGAATGGTTTTAAGTGACTTGAGCACTAATTAGATGACACGAATGTTTTAATAACCACAGTGTAGCACCATCCAATTAGTAAAATTGCCAGGTTGAAACTTAGTTTGAGTGTTAAGCGTGCATTCTGAATAACCTTTGCTTAAATTAATTTGAAATTATAAAGAAAAAATGTAGCCAGTGCAAACTTTAAATTTCCAAAAAAAAAACAGATCTTCATATTTCTAAATTAAAAGAATTTCAGATTTTCACAACAAATTCATAACAATTAGAAAAATTTCAAATAAAAATTTCAATTTTTCACATGACAAATTCATATAACAAATTGTCAAATTCACAACAAAAATTCATAACAAATTCATACCATAAATTTATAAAGATTAAATATTTTTCATATTTACACATAACAAAATATAAATTCTTAAAGAAATTCTGAAATTAGTATTTTTTTACCTCCGTACCTGGACTCTGGCACCTGGAGGCTGGAGAATTTCCGGCGAGGTGGCGTCTGGCGGGCAGCAGCAGTTGAGCGTGCAGGCGGTCGACGGCGTCTCTCTCTCCGCAACTTCCTTCTGGCCTCTCTCTCGGCGACTTCCGTTCGTGTACTGCTTGAGTTTGAGAGTTTGGCACTTTTCCACAGTTCCGCTTTCAATCTGGAACGGAAATACGGAGTAGCAAATAGGAGGGTTACTGAGCTAGGAGTTTTGGGCTTTGGCTGGACTGGACTTCAATATATTTCAATATATGTATCCATATACGGAGTAATATTTAAAAAATTAGGCCATTCAATTTTCCAAATGGCCAAATTTGGCTGGAGCAATGGACTGGACTTTAATATACTCCGTATATATATATACTACCTCCGTCCCAGAGTATTTGTCCTCTTTCATTTTTGCACACCATCCAATATACTTCTTTAATCCATTTTATCTTGTAATTTGTATATTAAAAAATTATAGAAATTATATATTAATAATCTATATGTTAAGACAAATCAAATAAGATCACACATGACTATATTTAGGCTTACACTTTGAGAGAATTTGATGAGTCAAAGTGCTTAGATGAACAATTCCAAAAGTTAAAAGTGGACGAATATAGCGGGACGGAGGGAGTATATATATATATATATATATATATATATATATATATATATATATATATATAAATTCCATAAAAGGTCCCTAGTTATAGGTTGTTTTACATATTTAGTCCCTACATATCAAATATTACTAATTTAGTCCCCAATTAATATATTCATTTCCACGAATGGTCCTTTGTTAACATTTTCGTTAAGAATGTGGATAAAATTATAAATTCACACTCCTTTCTCTCCTCAATTAAGCTTCCTTCTTCCCATGCACTCCTATTCCAAACCCGTCACTCAGTTTCTAGCTTTGAACCAAAAACCAAAATTATCATTCTTCTCTCAATTGTTTATCTAATTGGATGAATGATTATTTAAATTTTGGATTTAAGAGCTTAAATTCAGTGACGAGTTTGGGAAAGAGTATGAGAAGATGGAAGAAGCTTAATCGAGGAGAGAGAAGTATAAATATACAATTTTGTCCACGTTCTTAACGGAATTATTAACAAAGGACCATTCGTGAAAATGAATATAATAATTGGGGACTAAATTAGTAATATTTGATATGTAGGGACTAAATATGTAAAACGACCTATAATTGGGGACGTTTTATGGAATTTACTCATATATATATATATATATATATATATATATATATATATATATATATATATATATATATATATATATATATATATATATATATATATATATATATATGGGCCGGCTCAGGTGAGAATGCACCTTGGTGAAAGAAATAAGAATAAAATCTAACCTTTGGATCGGATGCATCGTGCGGCTAAGATTACATCCTGCACTCAGATTTTGAGATAGTGCATTTCCAAAGGATTTTGATGCATTTCGACATGATGCATTTTTAAATCATTCATTATTTTTTTTTCTTCAACTTTTTAATATGAATAATACCCTTTTTTGTATATTAATCTACAAGAAAAAATAGGAAACTAATTAAAAAATCATGCTATAATAACTCTTAACTATTTAACATTTTGATATTTATGCTAATTTTATATTCTAATTATTTTTTAAACTATCTTTTTATGTATGAAAATAATATTCATAATATTTTTTTATTTTAAAGACAATCATTTAGATAACGTAATAACACCACCACTACCACCACCACCACCACCACTAACAACAACAACAACAACAACAATAATAATAATAATAATAATAATAATAATAATAATAAATAATAATAATTATAGCAATAATAATAATTTATATCAACAAGAATCAGAATGAGAATAATTTAAAACCACACATAAAAAATTTTTAAAAACTTTTTTTAGATTTTACAATTTATTCTAATTTTTTCAGTTTCTTTTGATTTTTTTCAGTTTTTCCAGTTTCTTCCAGTTCCTTCCAGTTTCTTCCAGTTTCTTCCAGTTTCTTCCAGTTTATTCCAGTTTCTTCCAGTTTCTAGCTCTTTTTTTTCTAGTCCAATAGAACAGCCCCTAATTGTTTTGAATAATAAATTTTTGGCTAAACTCCACCATTGGTCCTTCAACTTTATCAATTATGCACGATTGGTCTTTTAAGTTTTAAAAGTCCATAAATAGTCCTATTATGCACGATTGGTCCTTCAAGTTTTAAAAGTGCATAAATAGTCCTTCAAGTACACGTTAGCCCTCAAAATGAGATCCTTTTGACAGTAATTGTTAAAAACTAAATGAAATCCTAGCTCCATATAATACGGAATAGTCGTACCTAGTAAAATTTACTCGTATTATATGAAACTAGTATTTCATTTAACTTTTAATATTTACTGTCAAAAGGGTTTCAAATGGAGGGCTGACGTGTACTTGAAGGACTACTTATGGACTTTTGAAACTTGAAGGAACAATCGTGCACAACTGATAAAGTTGAAGGACCAATGATGGATTTTAGCCTAAACTTTTTAAAAAAGAAGGAAATGATTATGTTGCATTAAATAAGATATAATTGTGCTGTTAGGGTCATAATGGGCATCCAAAGTACGGAAGAAATCAAAATAGTTTCAATATGTTCTCCATACCGACAATTTTCGCCCTTATGAAGTATAGCAGTTATTATCTTTCTAAAAAAGTATTGCAATTACTCCCTCCATTCCACTCTCTTTGTCCACTTACCTTTTGGCACACCATCCAATGCATTTCTTTAATTCATTTTATCTTGTAATTTGTATATTAAAAAATTATACAAATTATATATTAATAATCTATATGTTAAGACAAATCAAACAAGATCACACATGACTATATTTAGGCTTACACATTGAGAGAATTTGATGAGTTAAAATGCTTAGATGAACAGTTCTAAAAGTCAAAAGTGGACAAAGAGAGTGGGACGGAGGTAGTATTAGGCTAGGTGCATCATGCCACTGTTAATGATTCATCTTCCCTCGCTACAGTGCACTCACTGGCAAACAGTGATGAATGCTATGTTTTCATATTGATAAATTTGTATAGTCCAATTAGTAAAACTGTAGTATAAATAAGACATACTGATTTATTTTTAGAACACATTTCTATTGTGTATAATGCATATTTATACATTTTTAAAACATGTCTATATGAAGTGCATTTGTAGTGTTATATGTTGCACTTCTGTTCTTAAATGATTGACTTTAATTTGACTTTAATTTTGATCAATATTGAAAGAACCAAAAAATGCTTATCAGAATTCAAATTTGATATATTAACTTTCAAGTAGCAATTTTACAAATCAGTATATACAACATGCACTACAAATTACATGTAATGCACTAAAGATTGTTTACAATGCACTAAAGATTTTACACCATAGAGACTAATATATGCATAAGGAAAAACACACAAAGTGAATATTATTATAATATAAAAAATCTAAAATCACAAAGAAAAAGCAGACAAAACTCACAAACTTAAGATTTGTCAATATAAATTTTCACTTTTTAGTTATGTCATCCATTTTTTTCTTTTAATGACTTTTAGGCATTGCAAATAAGCAAATAAGCCTTGCTTTGAAATGCATATAAGCAAAGACATTAGAGCAAGCGTAAAAGAGGTTAGAAAACTAGTTTGCCTATGTAGGATTCGAACCCACATTGTAGTACATACCGCTTTATCATTTAAACTAATAGGCAACAAATGTGTTTTTTAAAGAGATCTTATCTTGCATTTGAACCTATTAAATGCTTATTTTAATCCTTTTAAAATTACATTATTCTTCATGTATAGATTCCTCTATTTACCTTTCAAGAACACAAATTCACAAGAAAATCAACTTCGAATTGATAACAACCGACAACACCTATGTATGCATTTTCCTGATTCTAAGAATGCACAATAACATAAGTCATAAACAAAGCCTCAAGGGTCAGAAATCATAATAATGCATTAACACGCTTTAAAATTTCAAAATAACATTATTAAAAAACTTAGAGATCAACACTTTGGGTTTATGCTAAATAATATTTATAAACTAAAATAGAAGTTCATGGAGTAGTCATCAATTTGTATATTGCACGCACACTTAGTATATTGCATGTTTATAGTCTGTTGCACATCATTTACGCATGTTATAGTGCATATTGCATACTCAAAGATGCATATCAAGAGTGTGCATTTAAACATGAAATAAACTTTTAATTTCAACTATTATTCTCAACTTCAAATTGCACATGGGTTGTATATGTGGCATTTTCACAAACAATTTATGTGCATAAATATACAGGATAGATCAGGTAGTGTTATAGATCTTGAATATATATCATAACATGGTTTTGTACAATGCACAACTCATGCACGCTAATACCTTATTAGAAGAAAAAGTATTTTCTACGACCAATATGCCACAGTGAAGTAGAACAAGACCAAAGTAACTGATTTCCTAAAAGTAATATGTTAAACATTAAATTTCCAAAAATGCTGATAGTGCTCCTGGCTTGAATAAATTAAATAGAGTATATGATGATAAAGAGTATATGTAAGTGATAATTTACATTCTCTAGCATTGGGATAGATGGTAGAACACTGTCTTTTGTAACCTACAAAGACAGAATCAAAAAATTCTTTAGCTCACAAATTTGACACTAAATTTGATAAATTCAATGTGAATGAGAAGTTGAAGTATGGAACCTGGGCGTCAAACTCAACGAAATGGTAAAGTACGACAGTGGCATGGAAAGAAGGAATGTAGATCTTTTTCAAATCCTTCATTCTCCCGACAGGGAACTACAACACATTAACACTATGTTTGGTTCAAGGAATTTAAAAGGGAAAAGAAAAGAAAATAAAGTGGAAAATAGTTTTTCATGTTTGGTTGGAGAGAAAAAGTTGAAGGAAAAGAAAATGAGAAGACAAATGTACTAAGTGAAAGAAAAACCAAATTCCTCCCATTTTGGTGGGGAAAATGAGAGAAAGTCATTTTCTTTTCTTTTCCTTCCAAAATCCTTGAACCAAACATAGTGTAAGCCTTTTCCCTCTGTTCCCAATAACCACAAATATAGGCAGCAAAAATGAGGCAACGGCTCTCCCAGTTTTCACACTGGCAATTACAAAACTTATCCATCA